AGATATGTGTTGCATGAGGAAAGCATGACATATCTCAATGCTGTAATCAAATCGGGGATCCAGATGTCACCGCTGTTTCGCCTGAAAGTATACGGCCGTCATTATGATCCGGCAATAACGGGGCCTCGTAAACAAGCGTCTTAATTTTCAAGATTACTATCTCATCAAAGTGCAAAAGCCAGGGGGAAGTTTATAACACTTAGAGTGGTGACAGATTGTTAATAGGAGTCGGGCCTTACTGTTGCGCACACGCATGGCGGAGTTTATTGATGGGTAATTGCTATCACCATGGTGACGACAGGGCCGGCAGCGCATAATTCGTAACGGTGAAGACGTGGGCAGGCTCGGCTCAGACTGGGATGCTGGGAGTTACGGTTTCTCGCTCCTTCCGAGTAGCGATGCTAGGCAGGGCCGCTGATTCGCTGCCAGGCTTCTGATCGTCAGCCATGGCAGCCGCTGACGAAGATGAACCGGTCGCCCCTCTCTGGCGTGGCCAAACCAAAGTGGTGTTTAATAGAATCAGCAAGTAGCTGGCAGCTTCCTGGGCTCCATGCGGTGTCGTCAGGGACCACTCTCCCCCCTCATCCTCCCGTCCTTCCTCCGAGTGGCCCTCACCGGCCTGCCCGGCCGCAGCGCTTAGCTGAGAGCCAGTCGGGCGAACGCGCCGCATATTAAAAGCACAGGGGCATGTTCTGTGGCGCAGCGGGAAGCTGCTGTGAGTCGCATGTGTGATGTGACTGTGGAAGGAAAGCACCGCAGCCGATGGGGGAAACTTTAAGCGGCAGCGAGAGTGCCACACGCTTGCTTCGCATGACGCTGTTTTCGAACCTCCCACCTACTAGCGTCCATTACGGGTTATTTTTAAAATATCCAGGCACCCAAAAGCTGCAGAACTCTATAAATTGTGCATTTTTTTTAAGTGTGAGAAGTTGACTGGAGGATGTATTTTGCGTTTTGTCGGTGCTAAAGACCTGTGAATTTGACGTCAGGCCAAGCATTTGTTAATGGAAAATTGAAATAGCGAAGCACGTAATTCTGTATTATTGCATTTTTGAAATAAAAGCATTAACGCTAAAATGCTGGTGGCAGAGAGCAGTGCTGTTGGCACTGTTGTGCATTAGCGGCGTGCCGTTATGTAGCCTCTGGATCGTTACACGGAGCTGTGAGAGGAAAAGTGATCCTATGCCTGCTGGATAGATCGAATGGAAACCTAAGAAGCCACAAAACCATAAGAGCGCTTTGGTCGGCTCTGGGGCAGTGGATGGTATCGAGCATCGATATCTGTCAGCCTGCGGTGTCTCACTGTGGAAAATCTCAGTCACTAACATCTTTTTATAAGCAAAGTTTGCCATCATTGATGGCCTGCATTTATTACGCTGTGTTTAAACTGAGATGAAGGGGATATTAAGCAGTCCTCTACTGAACAATATGAGGCCTTCAGTACCCCAAAATCACACTGTTGTTTAGCATCCAGTCTGTCTAAATGCTTTTCGATAAGGCACTGTTTATTTCCAGTTAACTTATTAACTGTCAACAGTTAACTGGGGGGGCACCGGTCTACTAGAGACAGTTTGTCGACAGTTTTACTCTGAGCTTTCCATGCTTGACATTAAGTGTTGTTTTGAAGGGTACAGTCCCATAGTGAGCTGATTAATCACAGTTAACCTAACTGAGGTTGCCTGTGGTATACATTGACATACCTTATGAATTCTTTATGAAAGATTATTCTGGAAGTGTGTTTATAATTGTCCAGACATTCATCTTTTAACTGCTTTTCCTGGTCAAGGTTGTTGGGGGGTAGCATATAGTATAAGAATGGGGCACATCTTGGATGGGGTGCCAGTCTGTTATAGGGCAGTGACACATAATGTTGAGCAGTGTTGTGTTTCCCAACCCGGTCCACTGGGACCACCTGACAGTCCGTGTTTTTGCTCCCTCCCACCTTCCTGCCAGACAGTTAATATTTTGCTCCCTCCCAGAAACAATGTCTAGGGGTCCTTGAGAACCAAACTGAAAAACCTTGATGCAGAGATGGTAGCTTTCTGCATGTCTTTGGACTGCAGGAGGAAATTTATCTATCACGTGGAGAACATGCAGACTCCACACACACACGGAGTTGGGGATGAGATTGAGACCCACAGCCCTGGAGATGTGCTACCAACTGAGCCTACATGTTTGTGATTTTGAAACACATAATAATTTATTGGTATCAGCTGATATCAGCATCCTATTTGTTGATCTTGGTCGTTACTGCTGGCCGATATTTAGACTATATTCAAAGTTAGCAGCACGAGAGCTAAAGACATATCTACTAAAATAATAGAGATGATTGCATTGGACGATCAGTTGTTTTTCACAGTGGAGGACGAGGGATTCCACCAACTCCTTCACCACTTAGATCCTCACTACAGTCTCCCAAGTCGGCAATACTTTGCTGATTTCTCATTGCCTGCGTTATATCATGTCACTGATACATGCATTTAAGCCCTATTTTAATAATAATAATAATAATAATACATTTTATTTAAAAGCGCCTTTCAAGACACTCCTTAACACACCTGATACAGATATTCAGGCCCTTCTGTAGTATCTCAGTAACAGAGCCACCTTAGCTTCAACATAGCTGGCTCCAATACCGAGATGCCACTGAATGGCCTGATTATCTGTATCAGGTGTGTTAAATTACAGCTGCACCTGAACTCTGCAGGGTGGTAGAGCTCCAGGAGCGGGATTGGGCAGCCCTGTGCTGCAGATTTTGTGGATATGGCTGCCACCTGTCCCTTATAATTCCGGATCACCCCGTATAATATGGGACACAGCAGTTCTTCCAATACGGGACGATCCCATAATATAAGGCACAGGTGGTAACTCTTTCCGTGGAGCTCAGAGGTTAGCTGGCTGCCGGGTTGGTTATCGGTATTGGTAGGGTTAGAGTTGTACTGATCTGATATTCGGGATCGGTATCGGCGCCGATCCATACCTATTAGATGGCTGAGGTATTGCGGCATTCAAGCTGAACACTAACGCTGCCACTCAGTTTTTCTGCCACTCAGTGGGGGTGAGCACAGTGACTTTCTCCTGCTGTGACGTCGTGCGCATACCCTTTGTAGTACGCTTAACACAAGACATACAAATGAGGTGGAACAGAATGTTATGTATGTTCCTAGTAGCCTAATTAAAGATGTTTTGGCATACAATTGTCTGTCATTTGAATTTACTAATTAAAAAATATGAATATGTGTATAAAAAGTATAGATATTTATATTATATTAAAATATTACAGTAAAAAGAGCTCTCGTATCGGAATCTGTATAGGTATCAGGTATATCGGAATCGGATCGGAACTGAAAAGATCTGGATCAACCCATCCCTAGGTAGCACTTGAGAAAAATGTATCGATTATCGGTATTAGTCAAAATTATTACATCGGTGTGCCACTGAAAGACTGATGCATGTTAATTAGGCTGCATTGATGTGAACTGTTTTGTTTGTAAAGACGCTAATGTACCTCTCATACCACTCTCTGTCTAAAACAAATGTGGAAGTTTAATCATGCCTGACACATCATAATTAATTTGTTGACTGGTTAGAACAATAGCCAGAATATATTATTTTTGGGGGGAAATTATCACAGAGGAAGGGCATTCAGGTTCCAGCTGTAGCTGCTTCATAATTAGAAGAAATGAAAAAATGTTATATTAGAAACAAATGCCAATCAATCTGCAGTTGTGAGTCAATTCTAAAGTTTGACATGTGAAGACGGCTTGCAGCAGGTGCCCCTGTCCATAACGTTGGGGTGCAGCACTGAGTGGGAATCAGGCTCCATCTGATATCCTTCAGAATGCAGATCCTCCAGGTCTCCAGCAGAAAGGAGAAAGCGGTTACGCCGCTACACAGTCACCAGGAGCGATGTCTGAGTCCCTTCATTAGAGAAACTGTCAGCTGTTCACTTCCTCTAAGGTGTACCCTGCAGGCAGGAAGTCACATGACCCGCAGCCCCTTGGCACATTGCCGTCTGTAGTGTTGTTGTCAAAGAGCCATAGAGGTCGTTTCCTCGCCGACTTTTTTTTTACGGCATTTTTTCCTGCCCGGAAATAATGAGCCTTTTGGCCGCGTTTCCTCTTGCGTGCGGTAAATGGCCGCTTGCGAGGATAATGCGTCTAAAGATCGTCTCTCCCGCATTACTACTAGGGTCAGTGTGACTGTTTAAAGCGTGAGTCTCGTCCCAGAATCCAATACAGGTCCTTGTGGCTGTTCTTGACGCACCGGCTTGTGTTCTACGCAGTGCAGAATGACTTAACAATAGCATTGCATCACACCGTTAAGCTTTAGCGGCAGGAAATCCTGCTTGGTGGTCATTTGTATCCCCCCCTCCCAAAAGAGACGGCAGGTGTTTTGATGATCTTCCCAGGAATTTGGCATATATCTCATGTCACTGCCGCGAATGCAGTTGAGCAAGGTTTTTGCGCATTTGTCAGTCGCGGAGAGGCTAACAACTAAACGCTTACAACCCTGGTGATGAACAAGATGCCATCGCCCCCTGTGTTTCCCCAAAGGTGTTTAAGACAGTACAGTTGTCTTCCCCGACTGCCGTTAATGGTACAGTTTGACCGAAAAATAGCCCAAGAGAAAAACGGGGACAGGGACTTCCTGTCGCCCAATTAGAGGCCATGTGTTTCTTCATCATTTCCAACATTTTGTCCTCGGGAACCCCCAGACAGTCCATATTTTCGCTCCCTCCCAGCTCCATGACAGGCAGTCTGCATTTTTGCTCCCTCCCATCTCCTGGTAGGAGCAAATATGTGGACTGTCTGGGGGTCCCTGAGGAATCGGTTTGAGAAACACTGCTGATCCAGATTGGTGGAGCCATTCAGCACAGGGCGACATCAGTCTGGATGCGCTGTAGTTAAACTGTCTTTAAAAAATACTTAATATCCCCTTCATCTCAGTTTAAACTTTTAAGGTCAGCAGCGACTAACAGCCCTTTTTCCTGTATGCAGGTGTTCAACACGTACTCAAACGAGGATTACGACCGGAGAAATGAGGAGGTGGACCCAGTGGCTTCCTCCGCGGAATATGAGCTGGAGAAGAGAGTGGAAAAGCTGGAACTTTTCCAAGTTGAGCTGGAAAAAGGTGAATTCCCCCTTTTGCTTACAACTTAGATTATCTGGGAAAATCCGGTGTGTCTGCTTTGAAGATCAACATATTGATTCGACTTCAATCATGTATCTCTTTAACGTTCGGCCATTTTCACACCACTGCTTTCGAGCAGCCGAAGCTGCCCCATTCATCGGCGCGTTCTGTGCATTTCAGACGATGACGGCCTGGGAATCAGCATCATCGGGATGGGAGTGGGCGCTGATGCAGGCCTAGAGAAGCTGGGCATCTTCGTCAAGACTGTCATTGAAAAGGGGGCCGCGGAGAGGGATGGCAGGTAATGGGATTTGCTGGCAGACTGTGCCCCCCCCCCCCCCCCAGGGAGAGGGATTAAAAGGGTGGAGGATTAGAGGGTGGGGGCATGGGGGGGGGGGGGGTGGGGAAGAGAAAAGCTAGTGACTTCAACTAGAGGTACAGAGGCCAAAGTAGGTAACATCCACACTGATGTGTACATAAAAACAGGAAAGACCCCAAATCACCTGCAAACAGCAACGGGGCATGGTTACCACGGTTACCTTGAGAAAACCAGTAAGTCAGATTTACTGGTGATGGGGATGCCACGGTGATCCGCATCTGGTGTCTGTGTTCTGGCAGGAGGCAGTATGTGGAGAGCAGAGGTGGCAGTATTTGCTGGGAGAAAACAAGGAGACTTGGGACAGGACTCTTAACTGTGAAGTCTGCTTTCGGCTGATGGAGATGCCTCCTCCGTGGCTCCTTTCACTGGCATCTCTGCTATTTCGAGTCGTTGCAGTTGCTTGACTGCCAACGGGATAACCCAATTTCTCCCACGCACAGGGCTGTCACAAGATATGAGGGGACGTGCTTCTCGCTCTAGCGGATGCCAAGGCCCGAAAAATTATTTCTTTATGTTGGCCGCAAGCCTGCGAGCGATTTCCAGCACATCTGGGGTCACAGATACAAAACGCAAACAAGCCATTTTAGCTTAAAAGAAGCTACTTTATGAAGAGCTGACGATTTCAGGGTTCAGTTAAAAATAATTTGCATGCTTTTACTGAAGCAATTCAAGTTAAATACTCAAGGGTTTTACAGCAAAGCTACTATTAGGACTCGTAACTTTTGGGTTACTGGTTCTTAACCAGTGCACCATCTACTGACCAAACCATTAAAAGTTGTCATTGATGCTCCATCAGGTTTCTCAGAGGCTCAGCTGCGGAAGGCCACTATCCCCCCGTAGTCCTGCTGTCCGTCCTTTGGGTGACCCCCGCCAGCCTACTCAGTCGACCTCTTAATAATAAAGCACTGGTTCTCAATTCCAGTCTTGGGGACCCACTGTTATTGGCTGACTTAGAGATCATCCCAAAAATCTACACCCCCATGGATCAGATTCCCCACCCCTGATGGTCAACACGTCCTGTAATGTGCTACACCCCCAGCTGTCTCCATATCTAGCCTGAATGTGATCTCCTCTTCCTCAGAATCAAGGTTAACGACCAGATCGTGGAGGTGGACGGGACCAGCCTGGTGGGGGTCACCCAGAGCTTCGCTGCGTCCGTCCTGAGGAACACCCAGGGCGTGGTCAGGTGAGACGCCTCAGTGGCTGAAAGCGACCTTGCGCCGGGTCTCCTGTGTGGCAGCTGCGTCGTTTGGCTCCTGTTCCTCATTAAGGCTTGGAGTTCACAGCGCGTCACCAGCCCCAAAGTCAGCTTTGCGGTTCTAAGGCAAGCTCCGTGAAGCTGCCTGGCCATTTGGAAAGCCTCATAATGGGCACCTCTTGTATTGGCGGCTTTAATGCACCGGGACTGTCCCTGGAGATATTTTTAACCGGTTTTAATCCAGATTTGAAAAAGTAGATTTCCGTTTTGTTCCAAAGAGCCAAATAAACAACTGCCTTTTCTGGCACTGTGTTCATTCTGCTGCCCACAACATCCAAAATCTGTCGTACTAACATCGGTGCCTTGCTTGGCACAGACTGTATGTATATATCATGGTATATGCAGCCCATAGAGAATAATACTTTTTAATGTATCTTTCCCAGAATAGCTCTGATGGTCTTTTCCCATAGCTTCTGGGATAGGCTTCCAACTCCGATGACCCTGCATAGGATAATATGGAAAATGGATGGATTTCTCTGAAAAGAATGTTAAAAAATATAGCATTAAGGCTTTAGTAAGAGATAGCTTTTATTTTTCAACAATTTACACATTTTCAATGCTTTTATTTTGATATTAGTATTACTTCCACCAAACTACACCCCCCACGCTGTCTGTGAAATGAATACGGGGTGTGGTGATAGTTTCCAGGCCAGTTGCTCTTTGGGACAGTGGTGTGAGAGGGTGGGAGGCATGGTGATATTTTTGCAGGGTGCTATCAGAGCTAGTCTGCGCGTCCTGATTGGGGGATGTCACTGGCAGGCTCCCTCCTGCAGCGGCTGGATTGGCCAGCAGGTCAGGACACTACGCCTCTAATTGGATGGTAGCCAGTTCAAATCCCGTGGTTGGCAGAGTGATTTTGCTGTGAGGCCGTTCAGCAAGGCCCTTAACCCCAATTGCTTCAGGGGCTGTCTGACCCTGAGCTGTCATTTGTATGGCACTTCAGATAAAAATGCCTGCTATATATATAAAATTTAATATTAAATGTGGCAATGACATTCAACTTCCAAGTTTATTTCATGCATCTATAAATCGATATTTTACTAGCATTTAATCCTAGAAATGAATATCTAAATTCTCAGGATCATAATATTTAATTTGTAGGAATTCAAAAAAAAACAAAAACCCCAAACTTCCCTTTTTGGTATGCATGTGCTTTCAGGATCAACATTCTGCAGTCTATGCAATTAAAAAATGTTAAAAACTGGTTTTTATTTAGAGAAAACTGTTACTGGCCAATTTGAAAACTGCACACAACAAAAGTGCAGGCCAAAGGTATCCGCTCACTGCATCCAGTGTCCCACCCACTGCATCCCCATGCCCACCCAGCCCCCCTCCCTCATATCCAGGTACAGTGTCAGCAACCTACTCCCTTATAAGCAAAGACGTGTTTGTGCAAACCTTTACAGTTCAGTCTAAAATCTTCTAACTAGTCACTGATTTTTAGTGCTAAGTTTATATTACTAAGATGTCAGCGATTAGTCTCTAACGACCTGAGATAGAGTTTTGAGTGCCTGAGTCCTTTGGAGAGCATTATGAAGCATTTACTCCCCTAACAGCAGTTAATTGGCACTCTAACTGCCCCCCCCCCCACCACCACCCCACCCCCCCAGTCCCAGTGCATGATGAACTGAGCGCCAGGTATCTGTCACGTCGTTCAGGTCAAGGGGCTGTCACCGGGAGACAGCATCATCGGACACGATCGCGTCCCTGTGAAAACAGGGAGTCATCGCCGTGTCGGGTGCAGCAGAATGGCCTCTGCTTAATCAGATACTTGGAAAGAGCCTAGCGCCATTGCAGAGGCTGTAATTTAGTGCCTCTGCAGAGGAATCACTCCCCTCCATGTGATTCGCAGTGGGTACATGGCCCCCAAAACATTACTGCTAGGGAATAGTCTTATTTTAGGGATGCCAGAACCATAGCAATTATGGGCACATACAGCCCTGATGGTAATTAGGTAAAAATAATTCCTGCACATGAATGTCGGTAGATGTAAGGGATTATAATGTATATGTGATATATGGTTTCCAGGTTTGTGATTGGCCGAGAGCGGCCCGGCCAGGTGAGCGAAGTCGCCCAGCTGATCAGCCAGACGCTGGAGCAGGAGCGGCGGCAGCGGGAGATGATGGAGCAGCAGTACGGGCAGTACGACGCAGACGACGACGAGGTGAGGCCCCCCTCACAGCCGGATACACACGCTCACGGCTTTGTGAGGGTGTGTCCCAGTTACTGGTGGGGTGAGACTCCCTCGCAGCCAGACGTGCAACCTCATGGCTCTTTGCTAGGGTGTGTCCTGTTCACCGGTGGGATAAGGCCCCCTTGCCGCCAGACGTGCATGCTCAGAGCTCTTTACGAGGGTGTGTCCCGGTCACCGAGATGGTCGATGCTCTGGGGAGCTGAGCACGGGAGTCGCACTGCTGAGAAGGTCACTCTAAATCAGCCTGCGCTGTAGTAATTAAGGAACACAAACCCTCCACTTTTCACTCTTGCCCTCCAGACCGTGATACTGCAACATCGCCGTGATTGGAAATAACTGACATTTATCTTTATCAAATTGTTTTTCTTTGAAGCCTGCTTTAAAGGTAGAGCTCTCACTGTGTGCATCTCTCTGCCACGGCTCAGTGATGCCCTGACTGTCCCTCCAGAGCTCAGAAAAAGAGGCACGCTGTTTTTCTGGTGCGATGTTGGTACAATTTACCGCAATCAGCTGCTGGAGATATCTCCAGATTTAAAAACACGGCCGCCGGCAGCTCTGCATTTCCCACCTCTTCTCATGTCGTGATATTGATGTCTTCACTCCCGCGATGTTTTCATGTTGTGTTCCATGTCGCAGAGGTTCCGACAAATTCTCCTCTAGTATTAATTAAAGACAGGTATGAAGGTCAAGTTAATCAGCCTCTGCCGCAATAATTACATCATTAAAATTAATCTTCACAGTGGAATAGGTTACATGTCTTGGCACTGATGTGATACAAGCGATATTGAAAATATGATAATTAAATCTGTTGTTTGCACTTATCCATTTATCTTCTAAGCGCTTATCCTAGTTAATTTTTTTTTGGGGGGGGGGGGGAATCTGGAGCCACTCCCAGGCAGCATAGGGCACAAGGCTGGGGTGCACCCTGTAAAGGAAGTCAGTTCTGTTGCATATATGTGCAGTAGGGGTGTAATGATATGTACCGCAGTTTTGGGGTCATGGAAACAGTAAGTTTTCTGTATCGTTATAGTAAAAAAAAATTAAAAACACCCTTCAGTTGAACAATTAACTCTTTATTCTTCCAAATAACCATATATTCATCTTGGTAGCAACATGTTTACATACCCAGTAGGGTAGTCACAGTATTTAATGGAACCATTTAGTATGATACCACTGTGCGTGTCTTTTCCGTCTATGTACTGGTGCGAATATAAGATGGTGTTTTTTTCCCAAAAAAATACATCTAAAAAACTGGGGTCGTATTTTCGAGGGGCAGAATTTAAATGTCATTGTACAACAGCAGATGGCGCATTGAAAGGTTCGATAATATAGGGAAGTGCGACACATATCGAACTAACGGTATCGTTACTCCCTTAATGTACAGTTCAGCGGTTTGTGGTCGGCAGAATCATCACATTGCTGTTGGGCTCGTCAGCAGGACCCCTAACCCCCGGAAAAACGTCCCAGGGGCATAAATGGCTGACCTTGTGCTCAGACCCCAAGGTTCGCTCCCACCTATTTATGTGGGCACCTCTTAAGAAATAGAGAGCAAGAAGAGATGTGCACAAAATGAAAGAATTCCTGCGTACCTCCACTCGTAAACATGACAAATAAAGCATCGTTTTATGTAGATTAAGAGGATCTGTCAAGCACAGTTCCATAATACCAGTCTGGCTAACATACGTTTTGTCATCTGATTTTTTTCCCTGTTTAGTCGCTTGTATGGAAATGTCTATGAATAGCATCATTGTGATCAGGTTGGCAGCACGCTGTTTAATTAAAGCAACACCGAGTGGAACAGAAGGACATGGGGACCCGTCTCATGGCAACATGGCGGCCGGTTTAATTATCCTCCCAACGCTGGGTGCCAGGGACACCTCAGACGAGTGCCGGCATCACGAGGCGCGGCATACAGACCCCCGGCTGGGCTACACCAGGCCTGAGGCCGCGGCACGACCAGGCACCTCTCTGAAAGGGTGTTTAACGATGCTCGTTTCTCCGTAGACAGTTCAGAAAGTGCGATGTGCAGAAACACTGGAGGGTGTCTAGCCGGCTGGCTGCCTCTACCCCCAGCGACCCGTCCGCTGATGCTCATGTCTGCTGGAAACGGCGCCGTCACACAGGGCGGCTTTTAGTGCCCCTGTCCCGGCCTCCTCCGCTCGATTTACGAGCTTCCCGTGACTTTGTTGTGGAAACTGCGTCCGGGCGGCTTTCGCGTCCAACGATTTATGGCTCTGCTGATTTCTGTCCCGTGTGTTTGTTTGGAGTGTAATGAACGCCGCTTTTTCTTTATGGAGGTAAATAGAGACGAGTCGTACATCTCGGGTATCCAGAGACGACGAGAGCGAAAATGGCGATGGGTACGGGTGGGGGGGGGGGAGCTTAACCACGTGTCACGGTGCGTCTTCCTTGCTGGAAATCAAACATGACATCAGCATTTAACTGCCCTTGAAATTGAAAGCAAGCATTCGATATGGGAATATGGGCTGCCATATTAAGTTTTACACAACATACAGCCCAACATTTATGCTGCACGTGCGTCACGCCCCTCAAGCTAAACAAAAAGACCAGCCGGCGATTAGTGATTAAGGACTGGGACTCAAAGGTTGTCAGTTCAAGTCCCAGAAGGGCCTCTGCTCGGGTCTGCTTGAAAAATTTACTCACCCTGAATTACCATAGCTCGATATTTGCATTATAAATGGCTTAAAATGGAGTAAAACACCAGCTAAGTAGTGAAATATATGTATAATAGCGCATGTACAGGCAGTTAAATCAGTCTACATAGTGTACAAAGCTAACTAAAGTCCTTCAGAGCCGATTTTGTGCTGTCACATTGGATAAAGCAGATTAAATCTAAAATGCTCTATGTTTTCAGCTATATGTGTTGTTCCCTGTGTAGCTCAAAAGGTAGCAGAAAATCTTGGATGCTGAGTTACATGTCGTCGCTAACAAAATGGTGTGAGATGTCAGCGAGGTGGCGGAGTCTTATCAAAGCTAATCTGCTACGACAAGAACATTCTTACAAGCAGCCCAAGGGAGTCCAAGGCAACCCGGAGCTTTGGTTGGCTGGAGGGGTCTCCGTAGGGGCAGGCCCTACCGCGGCAACGCATGGTGGGGGTAGGCCTTACCTTGGCAACGCATGGTGGGGGTAGGCCTTACCATGGCAACGCATGGTGGGGGTAGGCCCTACCTTGGCAACGCATGGTGGGGGTAGGCCCTACCTTGGCAACGCATGGTGGGGGTAGGCCCTACCTTGGCAACGCATGGTGGGGGCAGGCCCTACCGCGGCAACGCATGGTGGGGGCAGGCCATACCGTGGCAACGCATGGTGGGGGTAGGCCTTACCTTGGCAACGCATGGTGGGGGTAGGCCATACCTTGGCAACGCATGGTGGGGGTAGGCCTTACCTTGGCAACGCATGGTGGGGGTAGGCCATACCATGGCAACGCATGGTGGGGGTAGGCCCTACCTTGGCAACGCATGGTGGGGGTAGGCCCTACCTTGGCAACGCATGGTGGGGGTAGGCCCTACCTTGGCAACGCATGGTGGGGG